TCAACCAGAGGACGAAAGAGAACAAGAGAGCCCATGGGTGCAGTCCACATGGATAGCATCCTGGGATCCTGTGCTGACTGGAGAAGCCTGGAGCACGGATATGGAGGATCAGACAGAAGACATCTGGCACTGCAGCACTGATGAGAAGGCAGAGCCTGAGAGCCAGAAAATGGGGCAGTTAGATTGTGATGAACAAGATGACATAACCCAATGTCAAGAATACACATGAGGCCAGGTGCAGCGGCTCACACTTGGCATCTCAGCACTGTGTGAGGCCAAGGCAGGCAGATTGCTTGAGCCCAGGAGTTTGAGACCAGCCTGAGCAACCTAGGGAGACCCTGTCTATATAAAACATACAAAAAGTAAAAATAGCTGGGTGTGATGGCACATGCCTTAATTCCAGTTACTCAGGAGGCTGAAGCAGCAGGAGGATCACTTGAGCCCAGAAGGCAGAGGTTGCAGTGAGTCGAGATGACACCACTGCACTCCAGCCTAAGTGACAGAGTAAGACCCTTTCTTGAAGGCCTGTGACCACTCATCCTCATTTTCTATAGTACTAATCATTGATGCCTATATTAACCTATTCAACATGTATTTGCTGAGCATCTAGTGTATGTCCACCAGTGGTCAAGTGTATAGAGATAAACAAACAAACAAAATTATCTGCCCTCAAGGAGCATACATTTCGATGGGAAAAGTGGATAGTAAACAAATAAAGGCAATATACTAACTGTCAGAAGATGATAAGGGCTGTGGATAAAAACAAAGCAGAAAAGGGAGATAGGGAGTACTGGGGGTGCAGTTGTACATGGAAATAGAATAGAATGAAGGTGATATGTTAGCACAGATCTGAATGGAGTTGAGGGAGGACGCTATTCCGATACCCAGGAGATGAGGGTTTCAGGTAGAAGGAAGGTCAAGTACAAAGGCTCTAAGCCAGAGCATGCCTGGAGCATCTGAGAAGAAGCAAGGATGTACATGCTGGGAACTGAGTGTGATGAGATCAGAGAGGTAACAGGAGCCAGATCTGCAGAGCCTGTGGTCTTTGACAGTCTGTGTTCTGCATGATACAACAGCATATTCTCAAATCCTGGCTGTCCCACGTGAACATTGCTCTCCCATCTGTAAAATGGGGATGAGAGTCCTCATTTTGCTTTTCTCCGATGGTGTTTGTAAGGGTCCAGTTAAAAGATGGGTTATGGTATAGCTTTGAAAATCATTAAGTATGAGGCAAGATAATGTTTGTATTGCTTAGTAATTTTGCCTCAGGCCACCTGCTGCTGAGTAGAAAGGCTGCCCATGCCTTCATGAATGCGGCTGTGCTGGACCATTGCTTGACAGCGGGTTGTCATCTTTTCACACAGAAACTCATCTTCCTCCTCTCCTGGGCCTCCAATTCCTAGGCTTTGTTTTTAAAATAGCAGTTTCTCCCTACTGTGTTTCATGCCCCAAAACTCCTAAGTGGAATTGCAGACCAGTAACTCACAGTGGCCTGCTATTTATCCTATATGCAATAAAGACTTTCTGTAGGTTATAGGAAATAAATGTGCTTTTTACTATCATCTGTAGTTCTTATTAAACTTATCCCTATGGTGAGGAAATATCTTTGTAGGACGCAGCAGTTTTATGTCCAAACAGCCAATGAGCTAATAATGGGTTTTATGTCTAGCTGTAACCAGGAGCATTGCAGGCAGCCCTTCGTTCAATGCAGTTAGGAGATGCTGGTTTCTCAACTCATAGTGTGTAAATATTTCTTGTTAATATAGTGGTCCATGCTTTTAAATAGAGTATCTTGTGTCCCCATGCATGTCTGTTGGCTGAAACGTGAAATCTGAATGCCTTATGGAGCTAAAGGAAGAAACCTGGACCAAAAATGAATGGATGAGGTTATGAAATAAAGATGGAGGAAATAAAGATGGAAAGAACTCTTTGCACTGGTAGAGTCTTTAAGCCATGAGAATTTTAAAACTGTAGATATAGCAGTGACTCTGTTATCTCTCTTGGCAGGGAAATGGAAGGAGAAAGGCAGCTAAAATTTATTGCTAATTATTCAGACAGAAGCAACTTCTCATCCCTGGAAACTCCAAGACTTAGTGTCTTTATCTGTGAAACAGGGATGATAATGACATACTCCTAGAATTGTGATTCAGAGAACTCAGCACAGTGCTGACGCCCAGCATGTGAACAAAAAGAAAGCCCTGGCTTTTAGTTACAGTGTTATTCTTCCTTGCTAACTTCTTCCCTTCAGTATAGCATACAAGTGAAAATAACTAGCAGGCAATAATGTGGGATGATGGATTAGGTGATAAGACAGGAAGTGGGTTCCAAACAGAGATCAACAGCCAGTATGGTTGACACCATGGGAATCCCAAACTTTTGTCTGGTCATGCAGCATTGGTTTATCTTGCAGGATAATTTCACAGAGTTATTTAAATGTAAACATACAAATTGGATTTCTCTGCCATAACTAGGAAAGGGAAGAAGAAGCAAATCCATATTTTTTTGGTATTTACCATGTGAATACCAAATACCAAATACTACCTTCATATATTATCTTTACTATATTTCCAAAAGAATATAAATTCCATGAGGGCTGAAATTTTGGTCTGTTTTCGTTTACCACCTGCTATGGTTTAGAAATTTGTCCCCTCCAAACCTCACATTGAAATTTGATACCCAGTGTTGGAGGTGGGGCCTAATGGAAGGTGTTTGACTGATGGGGACAGATCTCTTATAAATAGAGTAATGCTCTCCCTCAGGGGTGAGTGAGTTCTTGCTCTAAAGTCCCTTTGAGAGCTGATTGTTAAAAAAAAAAAAAAAAAAAAAAAAGAGCCGGGCACTCACCACCTCCTTGCTTCCTCTTTCACCATGCCATCTCTGCCCACATGAGCTCTCCTTCACCTTCTACCTTCTGCCATGAGTGGAAGCAGCCTGAGACCACCAGTGCCCAATATTGAACTTTTCCAGACATCAGGATTGTGAGCCAAATGAACCTTTCCTCTTTACAAATTATCCAGCCTTAGGCATTCCTTCACAGCAACACAAAATAGAAAAAGACAGAAAACTGGTACCAAGAGTGGGGTCTTGCTGTAAAGAAAGCAGAATATGTAAAAGCAGCTTTGGAATTGAGTAATGTTTGGGTCATGGGGGTGGATCCTTCATGAATAGATTAAGCCATTTGTTTGTTTGAGACAAAGTCTCACTCAGTCACCCAGGCTGGAGTGCAGTGGCACAATCTTGGCTCACTGCAACCTCCACCTCCCAGGTTCAAGTGATTCTCCTGCCTCAGCCTCCTGAGAAGTTGGGACTGCAGGCATATGCCACCACCCCCGGCTAATTTTGTATTTTTAGTAGAGACGGGGTTTCACCATGTTGGCCAGGCTGGTCTCAACCTCCTTATCTCAGGTGATCTCCCTGTCTTGGCCTCCCAAAGTGCTGGGATTTATAGGCATGAGCCAGCCAAGCCATTTTTGGAAGTAAGTTCTTACTCTAGTAGTTTCCATGAAAGCTGGTTGTTAAAAAAAGCCTGGCGGCTCCCCACACTCACTCTTGCTTTCTCTTTCATCATGTGATCTCTACAAGCTAGCTCTTTTTTGCCTTCTGTAATGAGTAGAAGCAGCCTAAGGCCATCACCAAAAGCAGATGTTGGCACTGTGTTTCTTGTACAGACTGAAGAATTGTAAGCCTAATAAATCTCTTCTCTTTATAATAATTACCCAGACTCAAGTAGTCCTTTATAGCAATGCGAAATAGAGTAAGACATCATGGCATTGCCCATACCTAGAATAACATGTAGCATGTGGTAGAGCATCAGTGATATTTGCTGAATGAACTATAGCTACTTAGGAAAAGCACAGTAAGGCAAAATCTATCAATCGTGTGCCACTGACCAACTCATAAAAATAAAGCAATCTGGCCAGGTGCAGTGGCTCACACCTATAATCCCAGCACTTTTCCAAGGCAGGTGGATTACAAGGTCAAGAGATTGAGTCTATCCTGGCCAACATGGTGAAATCCTATCTCCACTAAAAATACAAAAATTAGCTGGGCTTGGTGGCACACACCTGTAGTCCCAGCTACTTGGAAGGCTGAGGCAAGACAATCACTTGAACCCAGAAGGCAGGGGTTGCAGTGAGTCGAGATCATGCCACTGCACTCCAGCCTGGTGACAGAGCAAGACTCCATCTCCAAAGAAATACAAATTTAAAAAATGTAAAAAATAAAACAATCTGGTTAATTATTTTCTTCTACCTAAATGTTCTTTAGATTAATGATTAATTCCTTCTCTTCATCATATTACCACATGTCTAGTCCAAAATCCCATCATATTTCACCTCTATTTACACTGTAGCCTACACCTTGTTCTCCCTACCATAACTGAACACCTGCCTAACTACGCAGCCAGAAAGAATTTAAAAAGAAATATAATAATATTACTCTCCTGTTTAATATCTGCCAATAGCTCCATGCTCTTCGAATATAGTACCAAATTGTTACAGGCTCACAAGAGCCTGCTCCATCTGGCCCCATAAATTTCAGCCTCATTGCTCTTTCTGTGCTGCACTGAATTGCTTTCAGATATTCAACTAATCTATGCTCTCTTTTAACTCAGGGCCTTTGCACATGCTATTCTGTTTGCCTAGCATACTGCTTTACCCACCCTCTATCCCTCTCTATACAACCCTCTATCTTCATGATATCTACTCATTTTTATAGTCTCCATTTAATATCACTTCTTCGGGGTGCCCTGCCTTAGTCTCCATGAGGTTCCCAACTTCGTGCTTTCATGGTGTCCTGCATGCCCCCTTTTCAAACACCAATTTTTTTTTTTTTTTTCAAAATAATTTCTTTCTCTACCAGGCTAAAAGCCCCATGAAAGGAGAGGTGGATTCTATTTTGTTTACTGCTGTATCTGTGGGTGCGTGGGCATGTGTGGGTAAGCCAGGCATATAATATATGCTCAATATATATCTATTGAATAAACAGTAATACGAAGAATACACAGTGAGGTATCATTTCTATTTTTCAGAAAAGAAAACTAAAATCTAAAGAGATTAAATTTCAAACTCAAGGTCATATAGCAAATAACATAGTTAAGAGTCAAATCTAAGTCTGGATCCAAAATCCATGCTCCTTCTTATATTCCAAAATAAATTTCCCCAGCTAATCAAATATTCTGCTTACTAGCAGGTGACAACCTATGTCATATACTTGGTTCTAATTTGGAAAGAATTATAAGTTACAAACTCAATCAGTCCCTTCTCTGATGATGCAGAAGGCCCCACAGAGCCTTTCAATGTGGTTGCTGGATGACTCTGAGCATAATTATCATAGGAAAGAAGTGCAAAAATAGTTGAGGTTATTTATGTTTCCTTTTCCTTGGATGCCAGATAAACAGTTGTTGACTGGACTTTCAACTCAGTCAAAGAGATGACCTAGCGAAGTTCCTGGCCTGAGAGAGTGTCAGTAGAGGAGCCCATATTTCTCTCATGTATGGAACTTCGTGAAGATCTTTTATATATTCTACTGTGCTGTGATTCGATGTGATTCCCTTCACTAGTGAATCTTTAGCCATAAACAAGTGAATGGGTTGAAAAAATCAAAGTTAGCATCTGTGCTTTAAATGAGAGGAGTGAAGGGGCAATGACAAAGCTTAGTAGGACACATGGACTGGTGGCTTCATTGCACCCACACCTGCCATTTGTGAGCTGCCACTCACCTGTACCTCCACCAGAGGGCAGCAGCAGCAGAAAAGGCCCACCTCCCCTGCGCCACACTTCACACCAACCACGTTGTCCAACCACACGCAGCTATTGGGCAACTGAAATGTGGCTAGTGCCACTTGTTGAAATGATAATAGTTTGGATATATTGGATTAAAAATATATATTATTTAAATGAATTTCACCTGTTTATTTTTACTTACTTAAATGTGGCTAAGTGGCAAGTTTAAAGTGACATATGTGGCTTGCATTCATAGCCCACACTATATTTCTTTTGGATGAAACTGCTTGACACAATCCAGGGCATAATAAAACAGAATTTCAAAAACAACTAAAGTTTGAGTCTTATTTTCAGGCTATGTATATATTATACAAATATGTCTTGATAAGAATTAGGAGGGATCTTGGAGCTTGTCCTTATTTTACAGCTAAGGAAACTGAGGCTCAAAGAAATGAAGGGAATTTGCCAAAGGTCACACAACCAGTAAGTGGCAGAGCTGGGCTTTGAACCTCAGTTTCTAACCAAATCAGTTCTTCTCCACTCAGTGAGTGGCCCAGAAATTATAGGTATCACTGAACTTAGAGTGGACCTCTGAGAGCTCCCATCCCTCTGTCCCCAGCACCAGTGGCTGACACATGGCAGGAGCTCTGTTTTGCAGCCTCCAGTCCGTCTGACATGCTTTATTTACCGCACCACACCAAGGATACAAAGGCAAGTGCTGCTCGGGCTCTGTTCTCTGGAAGCTCATGGCATAGTAGAAACGATACCAGATGGACAGTAGCCAATTAAAATTGTAAAACAAGTTCTAGCAAAGTACCCTGAAACTAATATGGAAATGTGTTCAACCTCACTAGTAATTTTAAAAATACAAATAAAAGTAATGGTGAAACATTGTACTTTACTCACATCCTTCCTAGTTTCAGAGGGCCTTAAAGTAGTTCATGATCCTACTTTAGAAAAAAAATACCAATAGAAAATAAAATCAACAACAAAATACAAATTCTTTCTGTAAATGTGTCCTGTGGGAGGGACAAGACATCACCCAACTAAATGGTTTGCACGATATGAACATTTTAATTGCCATGATGTCCTTTGCCTCAGTTTGCTTAGCTTTGAGAAAAGAAGTTAGTTATATCTAATTGGATATTTGATATATACCAGGAAAAGTATTTATCTTTATTTAGTTTAAGAAAATCCAAAATTCCCTGGCTTTTCTTCAGCATAAAAATTGGAAACTTCCTTAAGAGAAGAAACCAAAACTTATTTCCATTATCTACCACAGGACTTTACATATGACACAGACTCAACTCAATAAAGCCTTGCTGGATACAGGAAGATACCTGGATTTATTCTGTGCCAGTTATGTGCCCATGTACCTTAAAGGCCTCTTTCTATAAATAAAGTCATTTAATAATCTTAAAATCCTGAAAATTTGAGTTTCAGTTTTCAGATAAATAACAGAAGCTCCCCTGGCAAATGAGAACCTTGCCCATATCCCTAATTACCAGAGAGCGGAGCTGGAATTTGGACCCATAATGTATTTTGTTCCAAAGCTTGGATTGCTATGCTGTGTGAAGGGGCAGGAGAATAAAGGGAAAAAAGAGAAGGAACAAAGGGGTAAAAGGGAAAAGAGAACAAAAGGGAGAGAAAGGAGGCAAGAGAAAGATGAAGATCAAAACAAAGATGCAAGGGAAGAAAGGGGTGAGTGACTATGGAATGCTACCTCTTTCAGCACATAGTCTAAAAAGGAAGACAAAGAGAAGGGTCAAAGTTTTCCTGGAAAAAAATATTCCTGGCAATTTGGAGAGATGTTTTTTAAAACGGCAGGTTAGGAACTCATCTACTGTCGGAGGCTTGGCTCTCAGAAGTTCCCCCAGGATGCCTTCTCCTCTTGCCACCTCATTATCGCCCGGAACAATCTGCATGGCCCGTAATGAGAGGATCTTAATGCCGGCAGTCTCAAGGGTGGGTAATGGCCCTGCTCACAGAGTTGGGGTCACAGGTTCAGGACTGGATGCTGTGGAGAGAGCTGCACGGAGCTACAGACTGTCCCCCTGGACCAGCAGTCCATTAGCCCTTACCCCCTCAGCATGGCAGTAATGAGAAGGTGAGGCCCACTCCACAGCCCCTGCCAGCGGACTCTCAGGGTGGGGGTGTGGCTTCCCAGTGGCAAGTGCTTCCTGCTGCCAGCCCTGAGCAACCTGCTGTCCTTGCAGTGCTGTTGGTCGGCCTGCAGGATAGGGTTTGTCAGGATTCTGGATCCTCTCAAATTCTGCTCCTAACAAACATGCAATTCATGAGAGAGCCAGATAATTTAAGCTTTATATTCATAAACTATATTACATTTACATAGATTCCAGTTGTATGTTTCCATCTGTAAGCCCATTCTGTATAGTAGAAAAAAACCGATTTTCTAGTCAGAGTTCTAATCCTAGCATCTCTCTATTGGCTATGTGACTTGGGCATATTACCTCATTTCTACGAATCTTGATTTCCTCACATGACATGAGGAATATTAATAATACCAGCCTTATAGTTTGTTTAGGTTATTATTATGTGTTTGTTATTAATAACAAACATTGAGTACTATGTGTTGGGTTCTGTGATAAATTCTTTATACATATGATTCTGAATTCTCCCAACTCTACATGTAAATATTACTCTTATCCCTAATTGACAGATGTAGAAACTGGGTAAGACTGAGTTAGCACATGTCAGAACTGGGATCTGAAGTCTGGTCTCTCCGACAAACTTTGTAACTTTAACCACTATGCTATAGTAAAATTATGAATTTAATGCCCAGAGTAAAAGCCTGTTACACAGTACATTGCCAACAATTATGTTAGTTGTTTCTCCTCTCCTTTTCTCTTTGTCTAATATTACAGGAGACACTCAGAAAACAGGTCTTTCTAGGTATTTCAAACAGGGATGATTTAATACAGGAGATGGTGGGATATATGATGGACGAGCTAAGAAGCGAAAGAAGGATATTGAGACAAGCTAGCGAGCAGCAGTAGGAGGAAACACTGTAACCCCTGGGCTAGAGGAACAGAGAAAGAAGGTGGTGCCACCAAACCCCAGAGACCAGGGTCACCTTCAGAAGCTAGAACCACAGAGGAGCCCTGGAGGAGATGCTACTATTTCTGGAGATGCAATCCCAAACCAGGAGAGCCAAGGGTAAAAATACCCTGTCCCTCTTCCCTTCTCTGGTCTCCAGTCTCCCACAGCTTCAAATTAGTAATATATGCTCAGAAACTCAAGAAGAAAGAAGCTAAGGAAATGTTGTTCTCTGCACATTTTTCAAAGAAGGACAGAAGGGATCTGAGATTAAATATGCAGGTAATTGACACATATGACAATGCTATAAAATAGGCAGGTTGTGCTGGGCACAGTGACTCACGCCTGGAATCCCAGCACTTTGGGAGGCCAGAGCAGGCAGATCATGAGGTAAAGAGTTCAAGACCAGCCTGGCCAACACGGTGAAACCCCGTCTCTACTAAGAATACAAAAATTAGCTGGGTGTGGTGGTGCATGTCTGTAATCCCAGCTGCTCAGGAAGCTGAGGCAAGAGAATTGCTTGAACCCAGGGGTGGAGGTTGCAGTGAGCCAAGATTGCTCCAGCCTGGGCAACAGAGCAAGACTGTCTCAAAAAAATAAAAATAGGTAGGTTGTGATGGTCATCTCTGTTTTACTCTGTCAAGTATTCATTTCATGGTACAATAGTGATCTCATTTTATAGATGAGAAAAGAAAAGTCCAGACATTAACTAATACTCCCAGAGCTCTAAAGAGGAAGTGACTATTAATTCTGTGAGATTCACGGAAGACTTTAGAGTAGAAGTGACTTTGAGGACATCATGGGTCATAGGTGAGGAGGGTTTTGTCAGATGAATCAGATTGAAAAGCACTACAAGCAGTGGAAATAGAAGAGGTACAGGTAGCAATCCATACATTGAAGGGTTTGGGCTATACCGTCTCTGAAGTTTCTGCCAAATCTTTTTTTTTAATCTTGAAATTCTACTAGAAGTGGAAGAAATATATTATCCAAATTGTTTTTCATAGTATCTAAAGGCATTCATTTTCTAATATAAAATTATATCACTTGACCCCTGTGTGTGTAGGCTCCATGATGTACTTTTCATGCTGATAAAGAAATTAGTACAGAGATGGGGCAAATGTCACTAACAAGATCAGCTCAAAAGGGACAGAAAACTTTTGTCTCTTATCTGTCTTCTTACTACCATGTGTTAACAGTTTGGAAACAGAAGCACAGCGGCTACACATCAACGTTTTGGTGATTGATTTTTTTCTGGAATATATTGTCAGGACATTTGATCTGCATGTATTTCCTTTACACAATCCTTTGTACTAAATTTCATGGATAAACTTTTCTACTGATGTTACACACCACATTTCAGCTATTAGAATGTAGCACCTTTGCTCTTAGAATCTCTGCTTCTAGTTTCTCCTGGCTACAATCCATCACCCCACAGTGTAGTAAGTGGACTGCTCATTTTGAAATGCAAATCTGATGATTATAATACCTCCCCCCGGACCGATGCCTCACTTAAAGTCTGTCCGTGGTGCCCCTTGCCTTCAAGATAAATCTAAGCTCCTTCCTAAGTCTCTCAATACTTTCCGCCTTGAACTCTGAGCTTCAGGTGTGTGAAGTACTGACTATGCTATTTTATGCTTCCATGCGAATAGTCTTTGCACATGCTGTTCCCCCTAGAGTATCCTTTCCCAGCCTCTGTGCCAGGCAATATCTATTTCTTCCTAAGGAATTTCACCTTGCCCCCACCGCCCTCCTTTTCCTTTGTGTTTTCAATGCACCAAGCACATGTTGCCACTATGGAACTATCACTCAATATTTGTAGTTTTGGGTGTGTACAACCTCCTCGAAAGGCTGGCATGTAGTAGAAACTTAATAACTGGCAACTATGGGGGTTTGCTGTTGTTGCTTTTATTCATTTCTATGTTCCTCGTGTCTAACAGCATCTGATACACAGTAGATATCAAAGAAGTGTTTGCCAAATATCCTACGAGCTGGAGGTTCAAAAAGAGAAGTAAAACTAAAAGTTTAAAAGTCTCTATTTATTAAATGTGGTACCATTGAAAGACTGTTTTTAAATCATACCTGCTTCAGAAGGTCCAGGTAGGAGCTCGCTTCCAAAGATCAGAAATCCAATTGTGGGTTTGTCAGAACTAAGTATTTAAATACGCCAGATTCTCTTTATGCATGGCTATGTGCTTTTATTCCATTTCCTTTGCTCTTTAACCCAACGGCCACTTGAGACAGGACTCTAGGTTAATAAGCAAAATTATTCCCAGAATGGAGCTGACCTGGCCAGCGATGTTTAATAAGGTAGAGATTTGGCAGATAAGGATCCATAGCTGTGGCTTCTACTATTTATGAATCATCCAAAGTCCAAAGCATGCGGATGCTTAAACTGGGAGGGTAGTGTAGGGGACAAGCCCTTTCTTAGCAGATATGTATGGCCTATCACCCAGCAATCCGGGACTGGTACTCTTTTGTGGCTCTGATTCTGGGAGTGACTAGTTGATCAAAGCATTCTTTCTCAGCCAGCCCCAGTGAGCCTCCTAATCCTTCATAGTCTAGAGCACACAGGAAGCCACTGCAAACTCTAGATTGCTAGAGGACTCTGAGCTGCCAAGCGCAAGGCATTGTCATGGAGGCCCCTCTTTGAGGGTGGTGTGGGATAGTGTTTAAGGACCTGCACTCTGCAGCCAGACTGAGCTGGAGTCTGCCCTGTATACTCGTGACACTTGTAAGCTGTGTGAGCTTAGGCAGGTTACTCTATCCCACAGTGTTCTAGGTTCTGCAACTTTAACACAGGAACGGTAATAAGAGGATCTCAGGTGTTGGGGTTTGTAAATAAGAGTATATGTGCGTTAATGCTCAGAGTTGTGCCTGGAACACAATATACACTGTGTAAGTCTGGCTCTTATGAGACAGCCCACAAACATATGCTGAGGGCCTAGTATATTCCAAGTGTTTTTCTAGATGCTATGTAGAGAAACATAGAGATGAAAAGATGTGGCTCCAGCCTCAATGAGCTCAGCCTAAAAGAGATAAGAGACAAGTAAGCCGATCATTGCAATATAGCACAATAATTTGACAACTGTAATAGGCTTGCATAAGATTATGTGAGAGCACAGAGGGCCTGGGTTTCTGGGTCTGCTCAGGACCATTGAGGAAGATATTAAAGGCTTTTCAGATGAAGAGACACTGGAACTAACTCTCAAAGGAGGAGTGGGGGTTTGGAAGAAAGATTAGCAGGAGAGTATATTTCAGAAAGGCAGCAATAGACTCACAAAGATGCAGAGCTAGAGACCAGTGTGGCTGTCTGGGGAATGGTAATGCATACAGGGGTTGATGAAGCGGTAACAGGTGGGGTCAGGGAATTCGGCAAGAGCCAGTCCCCGGGTCCCAAATGCAACCTTTAGGAGGTTGGACACAATTCTGTAGCTAATTAGGACTCTCTGAGAGTCGTGAGATTCAGGAAAAGAAGAGCAAATTGAGGTGGATGGCTTTTGTTGCACTTTGAGCTGTTATGTTTGTTTTGAAGAGAAAAAATATGAATACATCAGAAACTAAACTTTCATGAGATTGACATTAGACTTCAGTTTCTGTATATTCAAATAGAGTATTAGTTTATGAGCTAATTCTATCTGGACATGTGGTATATTTTTAACTCTATGATTCCTCTGTCCAAGGTTCTCAATCCACAGGAATCTCATTTAGCCTGAAGGTTCTGAACCAATTACACGGTTTTATAAGGTCAAAATAAAAATTGGGAGTCATTTTATTTTTATCTGTACTGGTAGAAATTACAGAATCAAACTGCTTTAATGAGAAAAAACACCAGGATGAGAAAAGTGAAAATAGAAGTGTCAGCACCATCAGAGATTTCTGCTGCGTCTTGGATGCCGGCAGATGAGACCAGGGTTGGGCTGTGAAGTCCTTTGACAACCCCGTCTATATCCCTGAACAAGTTGCCAGGGCTTCAAGAGGGATAGACATGAAACACAACATCCTTCCACTCTTATTAAGATTTAATCATGCTTTCAACAGGATTGCAAAGTTATTAAATTAGATTTTTTTTCTTCCTTAAAAAGGGATTTAACTTTTGCTTTCCTGACATCATAATCAACATGGAACAGATGCAAAGGGGAATTGGGTGACCATTGGTAATATGGACCTATACTTAACATGTAGCATGTGAAGTTATTAAAATGGAAATTAATTCCCTTTATTACTATCGTGCCCTATCAATTAATTTGGTTGGAGGTGCTTATGAATATGCAATTATTCCTCCCTGCTGCCCACCCCTTATTCTGTGTGTATGGAAAGCACTGGGGAAGCAATAGGTAAAAATTTCAGATTTTTTTTTTTTTGCTAGTTTTGCCAGCACTGCTCCTCTTCACTTCCTAACAATGATGGATAATATTGACAACTCATAGTTCTTCCCATGTGTCAAGCACTTTCGTAAGCACTGCATATTTATTGTTTCATTCAATCTTGACAATAAATTCTTAAGATGGGTACTTTTATTATCCCTGTAGAAAGAAGAGAAAAATGGGAGAGAAAAAGGTGAAGAAATCTTCCCTATGTCACCCAGGCATTCTGACCCTGTACCCTTCACTACTGGGCCACACTGCCTTTTACTGGCTCCGGGTGTAAGGACTTGGGGAAAGACCATATTCTCAGATCCCAAACTCCTGTAGGCTGAAAAAGGGTGTGGGAGACCTGGGATGGGACAGAAGGCTCTGAGAGGGAGGCAAGTATTTTAAAATATAGGTTTTTGTTATTATTTTGGTATGGCAAGGCCAACAGATCAGGGGATGATTGCCATTGAAAATATAGCTTGTTACACTCACAGACCCCAAGACAATGCACCATGCCTGGGCAGGGCTGCTGCACACTCAAAGCACCAGGATAGCTCAGGAGGTAGAGGGAATGGGGACCCTGAGCAAGAGCCTTTATTGTGGTTTCTTTTTTTTTTTTTTTCTGAGACAGAGTCTTGCTATGTTGCCCCGGCTAGAGTGCAGTGGCATAATCTCAGCTCACTGCAACCTCTGCCTCCCAGGATCAAGCGATTCTCCTGCCTCAGCCTCCCAAGTAGCTGGGACTACAGGCACCTGCCACCACACCCAGCTAATTTTTGTATTTTTAGTAGAGATGGGGGTTTCACTATGTTGGCTAGCCTGGCCTTAAACTCCTGACCTCTTCATCCACCTGCCTTAGCCTCCCAAAGTGCTGGGGTTACAGGCCTGAGCCTCAGTGCCTGGCCCTTTATTGTGGGTTCTGTGGGAAGGAACAGGTGAGGCAGTTTGGCTGCTTTGAATAATTTAGCAGGCTCTGGGGAATAGATGCTGGCCCCATTGTCTGGTTCCTGGCTCGGGTGATAGGGGCAGGTGGATAAATGGGCTGGAGTGGATAAAGGAGGTGGTTGGGGTAAGGATTCTGGATAGACTGGTTAGCATTTGAAAGGTGAGCTCCTGAGAGGGTTTGTTACTATCTCTCGGAGTTAGCTAAGTAGCAGTCTGCAGTATCAGCAAGGCCCCAGACATCAAAGCATCAGAAATACAGAAACTAAGGAGACATAGTTAACAGAGCCAGGGTTTTGTAGGGTTGGGGTTGGGCGTAGTGCAGGCTGTGGAGGCTCCCTAAGGAAGGCAAGGGGGTTGAGATGGCCAGTAAGAAATGAAGACCTGAATATACATAGGATGATTTCCATTGCGGGGTAGAGAACTGGAGACACTGAAATTAAGCTTTGAAATAAGTGTCATTTGTCTTTTGATATTATTTGTAGCATGTATTTAACTTTCTATACGTATTAAGCTTTGGGAGAAAAAGTGCTATCACTCATCATTGCAGCTGGCCATTGCTTCCTTGGGAGCAGGGACTTTCCTTTATGTTAATCAACTTTTCACTACCCTGAAGATCCTGATGTGAGGCTTGCTCTCCAAGAATGGAGGGGCTCTGTTTCACGTGCAGTTTTTAAATTCTGGCTCCAATAACACACCATCAGGGTAAGTCTCTCTTTAAGTGCCAGTTGCATGCTGTGGATTTGGAAAAAAAAAAAAAGAATGTTGTTAAAGCCAGGTAAGAGGAAGCCCTGGAGAAGAACCACAGCCAGGACTGAGTGTTCAGTTGGTAACCCCTGATTCACAAGGGGTTCCTTTTCTCTTTCCTTTAAAAAAGGCAAGAGAAGTTATGTGAGATGAACCAAGATAGCGCTACAGATTTGTTTTCTAATCAAGTACTTAGATAACAAGGTGATCTGTACGTTGTATGGAGGCTGGTTCGTCATCAATCCAGAACCAAAGAGTCAAGCTGAATTCCTTCCATTATCAAGTTTTCTCATTTTCACCCAAAATGTGTCCTGGAATGTCCATACTCAATTCCCTTCACCTAAGTCTGAGAAGCCACATCAATTGTCTCCTACACTTTTTACGAGAACCTTTTCATGGGCCTCCTCATTTTGGTTTTTGCTCCCTCTAATTCATTTTCCATAGGAGGGTCATATATTCATTTTAAAATATAAAAGATATCAAGTCAGTCTTCTGCTTAATGGCTTTTTATAGTGTATTAGTTAGGGTAGGCTAACTACTGTAGCAAAGGGATCCAAAAATTCATAATGGCTCATACACAATGGTTATGACCTGAATTGGTGAGTAGATCAACTAATCAACATGGCTGCCTCTCTCTAAGGAGCCATTCCGGGCCATTAACACCTAGTTTAAAAACCATCCCAATTTCCTGGAGGCAGACCCTGAAAGTGAGATTTATATGAACGTGACCTATTAGGAAGATTTCCCAGGAAAAGTGACACAGAAGTACAGCGTGGGGTATAGAAAGGAAGGAAGGTAAGCTAGGGTGTAGTACCAACCAAGCCCCACAGAGGTATCTTTAGCCTAATCCCGCAAGGCAGCAGTCTCCAACCTTTTTTTTTTTTTTTTTCCTTTTTTTTTGCACCAGGGACTGATTCTGTGGAAGACAATTGTTCTGTGGAGCAGGGTGGGATGGAAAGGTTGGGATGGTTTCAGGATGAAACTGTTCCCCCTCAGATCCATCTCAATCAGGCATCAGATTCTCATTAGGAGCATGCAACCTAGATTCCTCACATGCACAGTTCACTCTGGAGTTCCCACTCCTATAAGAATCTAATGCAACTGCTGAGCTAACAGGAGGCAGAGCTCAGGTGGTAACGCTCACCTGCCACTTGTCTCCTGCTGTGCAGCCCAGTTCCTAACTAGCCACAGACTATACCCATCCACAGCCCAGGGGTTGGGGACCCCTGCCATAAGGGAAGATCTGGAGACAGCATAGCCCCTACCTCAGAGCTGTCCTCATCGGAAAAAGGGAGTCAGAGCATTTAAGCTCATGCCTGCCATGCATTAGTTAAAGTCGGCCTCTAAGGGGAAATACCTTCCCAGGTGCCTCTAGCAATCTGCATGTGCAGGCAAAGGGAGTTCTGACATCCTGAGGGCATTCTGATGATTAGCAGATGCAGGTGCGAGCCTTTGGGAGCGAGAGAACACCTGGAGACAGTGTGCAGGAAAATGACAGAGGTCTAAGGGAAAACGGGAGAAGTACAGACAGCAACAGCTACACAAAGGCATCTTAGGGTTTTCATTCCAGTGGGAAAGAGCAGGCAAGGGAAACTTAAATGGGCCATGCTCAGAAGTTTATTCCATTGACTAGAAGTCAACTAATGATTGATCCTTTAAGCAATGCAAGGCAGGCACATGGCCATACACAACTGCAAGAGAAGTTGGGAAATAGAGTCCATCTGTGTATCCAGGGAGGAGATGAGAACTTCAGCTTCTTGCCACAAATAGCCTCTCATAATACTTGAGTAAAAATCTAACCTCCCTACGGGGATCTCCAAGCCTCTGCATGTCTGGCTTATGCCTACATCTCCATCTCTGTGGCCTGCTGCTCCCTCTCCACCTCTGCCTCCACTCTCACCATGTTTTACTCATATACTCATACTGTACTCATATATTGTTTTATCATATACTGGGCTTTATTACCACAGATTCTTGAAAGAAAAATAGTAGAAGCTTCCAGGCCTAGAATTGCAAAACTACTGTTATGACGATAAAAGTGTTAATTTCACTTTTGAATAAAGGCCATTGGTGGATTGTGATAAAGTAGATAATGAAACAACTGGTCCCATTTAGTGGAGACTGTAAGAACAAGAACTTAGCCTCCAATAAGCTCACAGAAAGAGGAGAGCTAGACCGCCCTGTGGGCAGCCCCAAGCAGCAGGCCATGCATCATTGCTGCTCCAAGTGCAGAACCCATGGCCCTGGGCTCTCCCTTATTACCAACTACCAGCATGACCTTGGGCAAGTTGTTAGCCTAGAGTGCCTCAGTTTCATCTTCTATAAAGGAGGGCTAATCATTGTTCCATATTCATGGAGTCATTGTGAAGCACAAAGGAATTAATACAATAGAAAGAGCTTAAAACAGTCCCTGGCACAGACTAAGCACTTTAGTAACTGCTGTTATTACTCTTAACGGACCTGCAGGCTGCACAGACAACCCCCTACTCTGGTTTCCCCACTGTCTCACCATGCTATCTTGTTAGCAACTTTTTTCCCCTCATTTCTACAGCCCCACCCCAGGCTAAGAGGGGTTTGGAGACAACCAATTGAATCAAGCTCCTATTTAATATCAACCATGTATGGATGTGCATCTTCCTGGTCACGAAACACAATGTGAAGTCAAAGAACCAAAGGTCTATCTCTAAGCAGCCCTTCAAGCTGAGGTAGTGATAGTGTCCTACCTAAAGTTTTCCCAAAGCTGCCGTTTTCCTTAGGCTACTGGAGAATAGACCTCAAGTCTCACCATAGGCCAGGGGTTGTTTACAACTTGCTTTGGTTTTATCCCACCAGTCCTGGACTGATGCTGCCTTTGGTTATACATCTCACAACTCCAGGAGGCGCCATTTTCTTAAACTACATAGTCTCCAATGATGGCCCTGAACCATGCACTATCTTGCTGTCTTAGTGTTTCATGTGAAGTACACATGTTTTAGATTAATAAACAATTTGGATGCGAATTCTGACTCATTTGCTATTTGTGTGACACTATATAAATTACCTATCCTCTTTGGGCCTCAGTTTCCTCATCTGCAATGGGGTGGCAGTATTTATTCCACGTAGGTGGTGTTGTAAGGACTGTAATGGAGTACAGGTGAAAAGCATAGCTAACTGCCTGACGATATC